GTGGAGCAAAGTATTATTAATGTGGGCGGACTTTGTATCAGAGGCAGCCTCAGGAGGGCATGCTGTAATTCTAGGCTTTCCTCTTACACCACATCCCCAGTACATTCTCTCAAGCACCAGTGAGAAAATATAAATGTGCACAAATGTCTTCCATCAGCAGTGCTGTCACACTCGTCCCTGTTCAACACTGACTTGTGCGGGATGGGAAGGCACAAAGATAAAGTGGTTGAATTAAAAGAAACTATAAAAATTCCTGTAACTTCACCCTAAAAGCCAGTTCTGGCATTCGCAGATAACATTGCAAGTACCTGCTCAGATGAAACTGACGATGGTCTGATGCCATCTGAAGTAAATTGTATTTACAGACAAACCTGACCACAAGCCCCATCTCCAGCTCACCACCAGCTTGCTGGGCACTGTGCCTGGCTGTCAGCTGGGATGCAGCCCCAGTAAGTGATGGTGTCCATTTCCTATAGGTATGGGCATTTACCCCCTTGGTCATTATTTCACGTGATCTGTAGCGGCTGGACCCAAACATCCATGCTGCTGCAAGAAGCACCCTCTGTAAATCAAGTCTTGTGTGATACCTGCTGCCAGGGATGCTTGCAAGAGCTAAATCATGTCGGTGCTTGGAAGAGCACGTGAGCTCAATCGTGTGCAGTGGGGAAACACAGCTTCTGCGACTTCCTCTCAGCTCAGGTACAGATAGGCTCCTTGTCTGGGTGGATGAGTGTAGGAGGAAAAAAAATCCCTCTTTTTCCCAAAGGAAGGGATGCCTGTTTCAGTTTACATGCTGGATACAGCCTGCAGCTGAAACTGGAGCAAGCAGCACTGGGCCAGTAAAGGTGAGCTCCTGTTTCTTGTTGGTATAATCCAATAACAGTGTAGAGTCAGCCTACATGCTGCACATTAAAAGTAGTTGGAGATCCTCAGAGTAAAGAAAGCGTCCACGGCTGTCCTGTCCCCACCGTCCCCTTCCCGTCTTTTCCCACAGGCGAGCAGCAGGAGAGTCTCAGGGCTCCACGGGACCCAGCATGGGACATGGGAACGCTGCAGAGGAGGCACAGCAGCGTGCTGTCCTCAGTGCTTACTGCACCCCGTCTGCTCAGCACCACTGGCTTGTGGGAATGCTTTGGAAAGCAGCTGGGAAAATAGATTTAGATGGGTAAACTAGAATTTTAAGCAGGCAGCACAGTATCATCTCCGTGGTTCTGCCTGGGGACACGCTCAAGCAGGCAGTAAAGCCATTGCTGACCCCCAACCGTGCGTGACATGGGGGGAAACAGTCCCTGTTGGCCTGAATGACACTTGTAATTTTATTGTTGGTTTTTTTTTTCCTCCCTGAGCAATATTGGAGTGTACTGCAAACAGTGCATTGCCCGCGGGCTCTGGGGTGAGGACAGCTGTTGGGAGGTTCTTGCTGGGAGCAAGGAACTGCTGTGGGGTGAGCAGGGAGGACATAAAGGGGACAAGAGCAGAGGCAGGCTGGAGAGAGTCTGGCAGCAGGCAGATTGAGATACAGCCTGGTGCTAATTTGGTAAATTGTTTAAATGATATATTAGCAGCTCTGTCGAAGACAGCGTCTGGAAGAATTAGAATCATTGTCTTTGCAGCCCTGGGATACTGGTCTGGATCCAATTTTGTCATTGTGATGAGAAAACCATAGTAAAACATGATGTCAGTGATACTACAGTTAGCAGGGAAGGCACACGGATGTCCTTTGTCGATGAGTGCCCGTTGTTCTTCTGTCTCTCCAGTTGGGCTACAGACCTGCTAAATATTCCTAGCTTCATTTTGATGCGAAGCCCAAGACTGTCTCTTGAGACTACTGGAGATCTTTTGTTGAGGAACAGCCAGGTCAGGAAGGGGGTCTTTAGTCAAAGGCATGAAAAAGATGTCGGAGCAGAGGCAGAGCGCTTCAATCTGGAGCTGAACTTTCCAAGAGCTCTGAGGCGTCTGGCTCTGAGGCTGCTGAATCCAGCTGGGGAGGGTGGACCACCATGAGCTTGTTTAAAGTTAATCATAAGTGTTTTTACCTGAAGCAGAGAAACTTGGAACATTGATGCTGGTAGAAATACCCTCCAAACCAAAAATTCCAAAATTGCTGTATCAACATTGTTTCGGTTTTTTGGAGCTTCAAGAAAAAGCTATTTTTAATGCTTTTTGTTTTTTTCAAAAGCAACAGTAACGAAAAGCAGTAACACTTTACATCTGGTAAAATCCTATTCTCTTGGCTATGAATAATCTCAGTAATAATTTTGGTAAGGGAACTATAGAAGGATTCTGGGAAAAGCTTTGGGAGTTTTGTTCCTTTTTGAACAAAACTTGTCACCTATAAAAGCCGGGGCATGTCTGAACTGCTGGGGTGTAGCTGAGCTCACGGGCAGCCTTCTGCTGGCTCGTGCTTTAGCAAAGAGATGAGTTGCCCTGTCCAGGTTGTCTTTGCTTACTTCTGGACACTCGACAGGTTGAAGGTGAGGTTGTGCCAGGCCGAGAGATGCAGACGAGTTGTCCGTAGAGAAACCCGTGCCTCGGGGTGGCACTGATGCTGGTGGCAGGCTGAGATGTTCGTGGGATGGAAATTGTCTGGTCTCTAGCGTGATGATGACAGTCGTGTCAGTGCAGTAAGGGCCAGCCGTGCTCTTCCACGCCAGGATTGTGGAGCCTGGTACCAAAGCTGGACACAGGCAGGAGGGTGGCTGTGGCTGCCCTGAGTTACCTGTGCCACTGCTGCCCTCCTTGGCTGTCACAGGCTGCCTTTTATCTTCTTCCAAGGTGATACCTCCCATTTATTGAAGGCTCTGATAGAAACAAACGCTTCTGTTTTGATGAGCCTGTTTCATGTGTTGATATGACCTGCCAGCTGTTTTTTTACAAAATGCATTATCTATTTTTTTTTAGCAGCATTAGCAGATTATCAGGGCTGAATAAAACTGCGTGTCTGAGTCAGTTGAATTTTCAAGGCTCTCCAACCGTAAGTTTCTATGTGCCTGCCAAATGATGGGAAGTTCAACAGGCAGTCCGAGTGCTGGTGTGCGAGTGTGACAGGCTGGCAGGGAGCAGATGTGTCCGTTCTGCCTTGGGGGGAGGAGATAATGCTGCATGGCAAGGGTGTGTTTGATAGAAACGATGGCAGAACAGTTAATGCTTGAGAGAGAAAACACAATACACTGCTTTGGAAGCAAAGAACCACATTGCTGTTTGGGGGAGTGTTAGATCTGATCTAATGAGTGTGAGCAGCAGGGTGAGGGAGGGGATTCTGCTCCTCTGCTCTGGTGCGACCCCCACCTGCAGTGCTGCATCCAGCTCTGGGGTCCTCAGCACAGGACAGACACGGAGCTGTTGGAGCAGGGCCAGAGGAGCCTCGGAGATGGTCCAAGGCTGGAGCAGCTCCCGTGCGAGGACAGGCTGAGAGAGTTGGGGGGGTGCAGCCTGGAGAAGAGAAGGCTCCGGGGAGACCTTCCAGCAGCTTCCAGTGCTGAAAGGGGGCTACAGGAGAAATGGGGGGGGGGCTCTGGATCAGTGGTGGAGGGATAGGACGAGGGGGAACAGGTTTAAGCTGGAAGAGGGGAGATTGAGATGAGATATTGGGAAGAAATGTTTTCCTGTGCGGGGGGTGAGGCAGTGGCCCAGGTTGCCCAGAGAAGCTGTGGATGCCCCATCCCTGGAGGGGTTCAAGGCCAGGCTGGATGAGGCTTTGGGCAACCTGGGCTAGTGGGAGGTGTCCCTGCCCATGGCAGGGGGGGGCACTGGATGGGCTTTAAGGTCCCTTCCAACCCAAACCATTCCATGACATGATTCTGTGATGTGCACTTAGCATCTTCACTGATGCATTTCGGGTAGGAGTGTGACCTGCTCTCTTACTGAGCATGTTAAGTATTAGTATAATGAGATATGCATGTATGAAGTTAGTAGCGCTAGTTATTTTCTCTCCTGTTTGGAAACAGCTTTTTCAAAATACGTAATATCAGTTGGGATGCAAGTGAATGCTCGTATTGTTTGTGCGGATGGAGGAGTGTGGCATCAGGTTTTTACGATGTTTACATGAGGTTCTGTGGGGTCAGAGGATCAGGTGGCTTAAAAAAGGAAATGTGGCTCAATATCTGTAATTAATATTAAACTAAAATTGAGGGAGCTTACCGGCAATGGTAGGGTCCTATAAATGACGTTAAGATGAATTACACCTATATTGAGTTCAACCTGTAGCTAAAGAAATGTATTAGAATGGCATTAAATCATTGCATTAATATTAAGAGATTGAATCTGTATAAACTCAAATAAATCAAAAAGGGGACTGCCATTTGCCTGTGAGTGATAAGTAAGGACTTTACTGTGTTTGTTCAAATCTGTAACTTGCCAAGTTCCTAATGCTGAAATTGAATCAATTTTTACTCCTGGAGACTGTGTAGGACCAGAATTGATACTGAATGTGTAGACAAAAGTGGAGTTTTTTCTGTGCAAAACACCTCTATTTTGAGAGTTTTTTTGGAAGGCTGTTTGTTATGTACTAGCAAACCCTGCGTGGGGACAAGCTGAAGAGCCGGCTGAGCTTGTCCCTTTTGATGTCCTGTCCCAGTATTGCTCAGAACCGCCAGCTGAAAGAGCACAGAATGAAACCCCGTTAGTGCAGATCTTGGTTCTCTGCAGATGGCAGGTGTAAGCTGTGCATGGAGGGCTTAAACTCCTTCCTGGCCTCACAGGGAACTTTGTGCAATTAGTTGATGTTTTGAAATGGGGTTTTGTTTTATTTGTCCTGACATTTTCCAGACAGGAAGGTCCAAAAGTGGGAGTTAGTCAATTTGTTTGTAGTTATCAGAGAGGCATCTTCAGTGCTAGGAGAACTTGGTATGAAAACACTCCATTCTGGTTTCATTAGATCTGAAACAGAAAATACTAATGATATGTTCCCCCCTCTTCTCTCTCCATCACTGTCCCCGCCATAGTCTCTTGTGTCAGTGCCAGTGCTGCTGTCTCTAACCCTCAGCATCTTCTCCCAACAGGTTGGTGGGACAAAGACAGGAGTTGTGCGCTACGTGGGAGAGACAGATTTTGCCAAAGGAGAATGGTGCGGTGTGGAGCTGGACGAACCTCTGGGGAAGAACGATGGGGCGGTTGCTGGTACCAGGTACTGTGTCCTTTCAAACCCAGCCTGCGGTGTGTAGGGCCCTGCACACGTGCTGGGGTGGGCTGAGGCCAAACACCATATGGACCTCGACGGAAGAGTTAGAGCTGCGTTTGGTTGGACATTGTGGGTTGGGAGGAAAAGTCTCGGTTTGAGTCTTTGAAGCTTTGGGGTATCTTTGCAGGGAGATCAATAGAAAGCTCATCACTGGAGCATTTTAAAGCAGGATCAGATAAGGTCTGTAAAGAAGTAGCCTAAGTGGCATCAGGAAGCAGGAGAGTAGGGAGAGAAGATAACTTAGAGTGGGATTTGGTTTTGCTAGAAATTGATTCTGTGATTGTATGAGCTCTGCTCTCTACCATGTGTTCCCTTCGTAAAGTTGCTGCTTGCGCTGTATCTATAATTCACTCTGTCAGAACTGTAGAAAATAAAGATCAGACTCTTTTTTTTCTTGGGCTTAATGTTATTTGTTCTGTTCTTTCTGGGGACAAATTTCCAGAGATCTGAAAGAACAGTTGATGGAGGTTGTCTGTCCTTCTAGTAATTCTGTAGTGTGACAGCTGTCTGTGGATTGATCTTGCCACCTCTGACTCCATAGCCACCTCCCCTATTTTCTTTTCCAAAAAAGCCCTTTTTAGTATCTATAAAACTAGGCAGGGACATCTCACAGGCTTGCTGGGAAGCTGTGTCTGTTCACGTGGAAGTTAAGAGAATGACCCCCAGCCTCAGATCTTGAGCTTGGGGATGTTCAAATCTGAGTTACACAGCAGCGCTTGGGCCCTGCTTCAAATACAGGTGGAACTGATACCTTGTCCTTCACATGTTCCTTTAGTGGGAAATACTGAAATACTGTTGATTTCTTGTAGCTTCTTAAGGGAATCTTGCGGTAGAGGTGAGATTTAGCTTTGAAACTGAGGAGCTGAGAGTTCATCCCTTGTTAGATCTCAGGTCTGTAATAAAGGTTTCTTGTGTTGGGTCAGCCTTGTTTGGTCCAGCAGCCATGTGTTTTCATTTAAAATAAGAGAAACACTGCCTTGTTCAATGTCAAGACAAGAAAGCAGTAAATGATTGGCAGCAGATGGCTGAGTTCCAGACTGTTCTCAAAAGAAAAGAAGCGGGATTGCAGAGAATAAGTCATGGAGTGAATCCAAGTCCCTGCTTTCTTTGTCATATTCTGTGAATTACCTCCAAGCTTAGTCTCCAGGGTGCTCAGAAATGATTTATTGTCTCTGCGCGTGTGGAAGGCAGATGTGAGTGAGGGTGCTCTTGCTGCCTCTCATCCTCACAACTCATTTTGCTGTTTTGAAAATCCAACTTTTGGAAGTTATCTTTCTTCTGAAACTGGTACATCTGGGCAGAGGTTTCCCTGGTGTGTACCCTGTCTGCAAGGCTTCTCTTTTGGTTCACAACTTTATCAAGAACAGGAAGAATTGAGTTCCACAGGAGGGATCAGGAGTGAATTAAGAGGTTTTGTTTAAACAGGGGAGAGTGAGGGCAGTCTGCCCCCTTGTATCCATCATCTTCTAGCAATAATGGATACTGGGCGATACAGCAGTGCTACACACGGACTGTCCAGCTGAAGGGCTCTCTGTCTACCAAGGATCTGGCTTTGCAGGGTTGTCCCTGTTTGTCCTTTGAGCCTTCATCCAACCTTATGATTTTCTTACAGCAGGTGCCAATTTCAACAGCAGGGTTTGGGAGGAAAGCCAACGCTTTAAAACAGACTCCTTGGGGGCATGCAGGCACCCCTCAGACAGTCCTCCCCATGTTTGCCAGGGCCACACAGGATTCACGATTCCCTGAGCTTGTCCTGCCAGAGTCAGGCTGGGCAGAGACCATGCAGGACTCTGGAGTCTCTCTGCTTTAGTGGTGGTTGCCATCTAGTGAGCATCCTTGGCCTGGCTGCCCCAGACCAGTGCTTGCTGCCGCAGAAGCCGTCTGATACAGAGAGCTGGGTTCAAGGAGACAGCGGAGGCTGGTGGAAGTGGGAGAGCAAATGTGGGCGAATGAGCAAGCCAAGGACTCTGTCACCATCTTTGCTGCCGTGAGTTCTCCAGTTGAGTCAGTGATGAATCAGCTGAAATTTGAGGCAGGTCACTGTGGTTCTGTGGGTTCAGGAAGGGCGCCCAGGTCTGGATGTACATCACGGGAAGAAGGAAGGGCTGGGTTTCCCAAGGAGCTGTGGCTCTCTGGTGAAGGCTGCCTGCGGGCGGAGGTTCAGAAGCAGAAGGATGTCATGGTGCTGAAGCCCCTCGCAGCACATCAGATGGGTGCTGCTGAGACACTCTGGGGTTTGCTGCATCTGCTCTGCTGTCTGCATAGGAGACTAGGGAGCTCCTGATGTGGGTTTTTTTTTTTTTTTGGTTTCTTATCCACAAAGCCAAGCAAGTTCCACTTACTCATCTCTGGTATATTAACCTTTACTTGCTTATTTTACCATTCTTCCTTCTCTGCCTCTGCTTCTATGTGAGTCGTTGCCCACTAAACTGCTCATGCCTTTGCTTTCACATAATCTGAAACGTGTCAGCTACAGGCTTTAGATGCTGGAGATTTTTTAAATCTATTTCAAAATTTCCTGTGCTGTTTCCTACCTGCGGTTTGCATTACCATTGCAATGCTACTTTTCTCCCATTTCTTTTCGCTAATGTGCGTGTAGAGCTCCTTAGCTCAGTGAGAGCGGCTCTTGGATTTCAAGCGGATATTTTTTTTTTTCTGCCAAGTGTTCTGGACCCAGTTCCTGCTTCTGAATTATAAAAGTTTGTTGCAACCACTTCCGTTTTGGACTAAAAAAAAAAAGTAGACATAGAGTGGTGCAAGCTTGGACTTGCTAAGAGCTGTCAAGGGGCTTCTGAGGGACTCTGCCTTTGGCATTGTTGTACAGCCACAAGTACCAGTCTATGCTTAGACTTGTGGAAGCGGCTGTGCCATGCTGTCGGTCTGCCTGTGCCTGCTTTAGTTGGCTGAGCAGGGTTTTGGCTGGTTCACAAGAGGGCAGACTGGTTTTCTTCCTTGGGTCTCTATTCCGCAGCGAGGTCAGCCTGCGGTGTGGCTGGTTTTCCAAACCCAAGAGCCTGTGTTGGCAGCAGGCAGAGGGGGGTAAGTGATTTTGGGCTGTAGAGCATTGGTTTTGGTTTCTATTTTTTAAAAGTTTGTTATAGAGAAAGTCAGGCTTCAGCAGATGTTTGAAAATGAATCACTTTCTCATCTGGCTGGAGATCAGGCTGTTCTCTGGCCTCCCAAGCACACAGGGGTCTGCCTGTGACACAGCAGCATGGCTGCCAGCGCTTACGAATAAAAAGAATTGGGGAAACAGCTGCTCACATCTGGAGAGAGAGGACTTGTGCTAGTAAAGCTGGATTTGTGTCATTTATTCATTAGGACCTGTTTGTTATGTTAACGTAGGACAGGCTATTATGTGGCCCAGTATTTTCTTGTAACCTCACTACAAAACCTTTGGGAAGGAACAGCTAATGGAGACAGTTTTCTGTGTTGACTGCTCCCTTGAAACAAGGGGATGCAATGCCTAGGGGTGATCTGGTTTTACTTGCTGCAGTGCAGCTGGCCGGCAACCCTGGCCTGAGCCCATCAGCCCAAGCTCTGAAGGGGTTTCCAAGGTTTGACACTGTGGGTTTTGGCTCATTTGTATTCTGAAAGAGGGCTTCAGAGAAACATAATCAGCGGGCTCACTGTAGTTGTGGAAAAGAGCTTGTACTGTAATGAACTGATCCTCCCTTTTTTGTGCTTACTTCTTTCTAAGTTGGTTTGCGTGGGAACCGGTTTCTCTGCCACCCAGAGGAGATGGCACACACTGGAGTTTGCTGTAATGGTATTTTTAGCTTTGAAGTTAGGAGCTGTCACTTTCCCCTTCGGTTCTTGGAGGAAAGATTTTTTAAGCTGTAGAACATGTATACAGAGCTGTGTGATTCGGATCTTTTTATTCAACACACTTCGCTATGTGACTTTCCTGCAAAGCAGGGTAGAGGACCTGTGCAGGTTTTGGGAAGGGTGGTTTGTTGCGGTGAGGAAGGAGCACGTGTGCTCTCACTGTGTTTATGTGCTGGGATCTTTGTGCGGTCTGGGCTATGAGATAGGTCTTTCCTGTCATCCCATCAAAGCGTGCAGCAAGCAGTGCGTGGCAATTATCTTGGGTTTCCCTGCTTAAGCACCACAAGTGCAGACATGGAGATTGCCACTACTCTAAGTGTCAGGAAAGGAGAATAATCCAACCACTTGCATGCAGGAAACATCACAGCAAAGTGCCAAGAGGTAAGCTGAGGGCCAGGGTTATGTGTTGCTTAGCAATGCTGTTTTGCGAGGCTTGGGCCAGGTGGGCACTCTGCCGCTTCTGACGTGGTGTGTTTCCTATATTACAGGTATTTTCAGTGCCCTCCCAAGTTTGGCCTTTTTGCTCCCATCCACAAGGTGATCCGCATCGGGTTCCCATCGACCAGCCCGGCCAAGGCAAAGAAGAGCAAACGAATGGCCATGGGAGTGTCTGCCTTAACCCACAGCCCCAGCAGCTCCTCCATCAGCTCCGTCAGCTCCGTGGCATCGTCGGTTGGGGGCAGGCCCAGCCGCAGCGGGCTGGTAAGTGGCTCTTTCCGTAGTCTGTGCAGCCTCGATCCACTTCTGCAGTGACGCAGCTTTACAAAGTGGGAAGGTTGGGGTTTTGTTTCAGCAGCTGCACTGGGGCAGCTGCTCCTTCACCATCGATGAGACAAGGGGAGTGGAGTATGGGATACTGTTACCCACCCTACGAACAGGACTCCCTCCATGGACACTGAGCAACTGTGACCATTAAAGAGCCCGAAGTGCTATTTGCAATGGGATGAATCTCAGCTCTGCAGTCAAGAGCCGGTTTCACACAAGATCCCTGCAAAAAAAGGTCGTGAGGCCCTGGCCCAGGTTGCCCAGAGAAGCTGTGGATGCCCCATCCCTGGAGGGGTTCAAGGCCAGGCTGGATGAGGCTTTGAGCAACCTGGGCTAGTGGGAGGTGTACCTGCCCATGGCAGGGGGTGGGACTAGGTGATCTTTAAGGTCCCTTCCAACCCCAAACCTTTCTGTGATTCTATGAAAAAATGCCACTGCTTCTTGTCCTTCATGGTTGCGGAGCAGTGTGCTGCTGCGTTGAACAGCCATGTGAAAGCTCCTGCAGTGACTCTGTTCTGCTGTGAAGGGATGATGCTGTCCTGGATCACAAGCCGTGTGCTTTGGCAGGCGCTCAAGAAGGCGGACAGCAGAGCAGGCAGTAATATTATTAAAAGCGCTAACTCTGCTGTAGTGTGTGCTGCATAGCACCTGCAGCCGTCTTGGCTGGTGCTGCTGCGTTGAACAGCCATGTGAAAGCTCCTGCAGTGACTCTGTTCTGCTGTGAAGGGATGATGCTGTCCTGGATCACAAGCCGTGTGCTTTGGCAGGCGCTCAAGAAGGCGGACAGCAGAGCAGGCAGTAATATTATTAAAAGCGCTAACTCTGCTGTAGTGTGTGCTGCATAGCACCTGCAGCCGTCTTGGCTGGGGACGAGGGTGCAGTATCCATTACTGGAGTGGATCCAGCTAACCCATGCCAGAGTCCAGTTGAGATCAGTCCTCCCAGCTGAGCTCGCTGTTCGGGACTGTAGTGGTGCAGGTCATCAATGAAGTATATTTGAGAAGGCAGACGATACAATACATGATAATCTTTCCTGACCCAGTTCCCACCCCATGTCTTGTCCTTTAGGAAATGATCCTTTCATTGCAGTGTAGAAGAGCTTGTGAGCAGTGTCCAGATGTTTTCCAGACTTGTTAAGCCCACCTGTAGGGTCTGTAGCTGGAGCTGCAGCTCTGTACAGCCTAACAAATGATCAGTAGGTGAGCGGCAGTCCAGACTTAACAGGGGACTTTGAGCTATTCTAGACTGGGGAGGACATAGCTTTACCTCTCTCTTTAATTTTCCAGCTGACAGAGACTTCTTCTCGATATGCCCGAAAAATCTCTGGCACCACGGCTCTCCAGGAGGCACTGAAGGAGAAACAGCAGCACATCGAACAGCTACTGGCAGAGCGGGACCTGGAGCGGGCTGAGGTTGCCAAAGCCACCAGCCACATCTGTGAGGTAGAGAAGGAGATTGCCATCATGAAGGCCCAACACGAGCAGGTAGGAGATGATGTGGCTTTATTGCTAGCACATACCTGTCATTATCAGAAAGTTTCAGATCATAATGTTGTCCCTTTATAGCTTCCTGATGTGAAACCTGGGCTCTGAATTTCTGCCTTTTATGTGGAGACAGCTTCCTGCATGATGGGTTAAGCCAAGGCTCTTTCTCCACTCCTGCCGGTGGCACGTGTGCTCTCTCTGCCCCAAGCAAGGAGCAGAAAAAGGGCTGTGCCAGAAAAAAGACGGTGGATAGTTTGTGCCTGGTGGATCAATACGTTTGAATTCTGAAAAGCAAGTGGAGGGCAGACTTGTTCCCCTTAGCCGCCCAGTCTGGCCTTGGCTGGGACTGCATTGCAGTGGTTTTTTGATGCTATCGGACACTGCTGAGAACATCAGCTCAGTTCATATGTCACCGCCTTCCTGCCAGAGAGGATGTTTTTATCACAATAATAAAGTCAAGAGATCTGTAGTGAAAACAGGATGATCATATTAGCTTTTTTTTCACAAGCATTTGTACAAATGATATTTTGTGCACTTAAAGAGAGGAGCTGTGTTTGTGCTGTTTGTCAATATGTGGCTCTTCAAGGGCTGCTGTTGCTCTAAATTCCTTGCTCGTGTTTATAAACCCCAGTCAGCTGCTAGGGAGCAGGGCTGGCACTGTGTATCTTTGTGTGGTGGGCCACCCCTGCCTGTCAGAAATGCAGGAGAAATTGGCAAATCAATTGTGAGCTGACATCTGCCTTGCGTATAGTGTTTTCCAGTAATTACCAGTAACAAATTAATTAATGCAAGTCTGAAATGTCTCTTTCTTTGTGACCAGGGCTGAATTGCATCTGGTAGCATCAGACCAGATTTTCAAAACTGTTCAGGTTTCAAGTTCTTAACTCCTAATCAGAGCTGGATTCTCCAAAGGGTTCAAGTCAGAGAGGCACTGAGGCATGGAGCGAATTTACAGCTACTGGAGACTGAGCAATTCTTTTCTTTTTATACTTCCATACTGGGCTTTTTGGAAAATCTATCTTCTTACCACAGCAAGCTCTGAAACAGATCATCAAAACCTTCTTTTCCCTTGTTCTGATCCTTTTTGAAACAACTCTATACTTCAAACATTGTTCACCTTTGTGGCTCGGGCTCTTTTTTTGCTGCAGTACGTCACAGAGGCAGAAGGAAACCTCCAGCGAGCACGAGCCCTGGTAGACGGGATGCAGAAGGAAAAGATTGAGCTGTTGAATCAACTGGAAGAGGAGAAGAGGTAAAGCAGGAGTAGATGGGTGTGGGGGGGTGAAGTCATTGGGGAGACAATGCTCTTACTCGAATATCCTTCATTGGATCTGCAGAGAAGATAATGACTGTGAGTGTCATCTTTGGATGTCTTCCAGTACTTCAAATGTGCTGTGTTCCCCTCTCCCGGCCCCTGTGGTCTGCCTGCATGTAGGGAAGGGTCTGCCTGCCTGCATGCTTCGGATAACAGGGAATTTAGAACAGTTGTTGCTGCATGTTGCATGTCTGATGTGACTCTTGTCTAGGGTCAGGTATCCACTACAGTGACTGCCCCTGTTTGCTGACGAGCTGCTGCTAATCACAACCAAACAGAAGTGTTTCCGATTAGTCTTGTGTCTTCCTATGTCTTATGGTTCTTAGAGGAGACTCGATGCTTTATCGTTCAGTGGGGTTGCATTTCTGTGATGGGAGCAGCCTCAGGTTCCTGAATATGCTTAGCTGAACTGTCCCCTTGTTGCAATGCGATTGAAATGCAGAAGACAGCCAGCGGGACAGCTCATACTTGGGATAGTGGCGGCTCTGTTTTGCTGTCAAGAGGAGTCTTGTGGTTTGATGCACTTTCCTGACAAATGCATTTAGCACTTCAGAAAAAAATGACACTATCAGCTTCCATCCCTGATTAGGACTCTGGTGACGACCCTGATAAATAATTGTCAGCCTCTTGCATGTCCAAGAGCGTTTGACCATGGCACATGTTCCACTGAGAATACACTGGACAGCAGTGGATTTACCACGCTCAGGAGGCCAAAGAGCCTTGGTCTCCTGCTGAGCAGTGAAGTTCTGGAGGGTTTCCAGCCATCCTCCCTGGTGTTCAGTTCCCCCCAGATAGCAGGGAGAAGCGGCGTTGTTAGCCTGAAGGAGCGAAGGACTCCAGTAACAATAGTTACTCTGGGATTTCATACCCTGACCAAACTCTGCCATGTCACTGTGTAAACTGGCGTTACTGGGATTAACTGGGATTGACTTGTGGTGAGGGTGTGAACAGTGACCAAGCCTTGCCTTCAGATACTCTGGGCTAAGGATACGGTACAAAATAACAATACTGTGTAATAACCAAATGGCAGATTGGGCCACCCCTAACCTTTCTGTGCAAGCTGGCCTTGCTAAAGACCCTTTCTTTCCCCTCTGTTTGTGATGTGATGACCTTAAGGACATTCCTTCTGAGGAAGGGAAGTCAAACTGGAGTACAGCCTTGTGATTCATCGTCTCCCCGCATCCCCATCCATGTATATATGGTGATGCATACATTTCCTCTATGGGTAAGAGTGAAGATCTGCTTCAATCCAGTCTGGTTCAAGTCCAATCTTGGACTCGGATTGCTCCATATATATAATTAAACTCTTCAGTGGGAATAGAAAGACATTTCTGTGTATTAAGTAACTGAAAACAGTGTTGATGTCAGTTGAGTGATGCCCCTCCTGGGGACGAATTGTTCGTTCGTGCATAGGTCTCCCTGTTCTCCTGGTAGACAGCTCACTTTCCCAGCTCCAGGAGGCCCTTTAACCCAAGACAGCTGAGTTCTTTCCTAAGTATCAGCAGATGCCTCCTCTAATTAGAGGAGGTTTAGACAAGGAAGCTTGTTTATGAAGTTAGATATGCACACTCACAGCTATTTTTATCTGTAACAGAATCAGAGTCCTTACATGTGGCTACCAGCTCAACATCCTCATTGCTGCCTTTTTTTTTTTTTTAAATGAGTAAATAGAACAAAGAGGAGTGAGTTTAGCAGAAAATTGAATTATTTTGTATCGTTACTGGATTTTCTCTTCAGACTTTGCAAAAGAGTCCTAGGCATGTCTGTGTTTGTGCGTGTGGTTTTATAGGGGTTTTTTTCCAGGGTAGCTCACCATTTCTGCATTGTCAAAACACTGAACATTGCCTACCCTCTGCCAAGGAGGCAGAAGCTCTGATTCCCTTGGAATATTTTGTATGGACGCTGGACACCTGGCCCAGGAATTGCCCCATGCTCGGTTGCAGGATAATGGGCTCTAAGAAAACCGGTGAAACCTGGTTGTGGCTTTGATGTTTGCACGATCCGGGTGTCTGTGAACAGCAGTTGTGCTTGCTGAGAGGTGGTGCAGCAGAAACAACGTGTCTGTGAGCATGTATGCATGAAGGCAGATGTTTGCTACTTAACTATCTTGCTCCATGTGTCTTGCTGTTTATCTTCTGCTGAGCTGTTTGTATACCCAGTTTGTCTGTATCCCTCTCCCCTCAAGCTTCAGTTGTGCAGGGGACACCCATGTGGAATGGCTGCTTAGAAGTGGGATGCTGCTCTGGGTGTTACTGATTGCTCTTTGTGTCTTTTCCCCAGGAAAGTGGAGGACTTGCAATTCCGTGTGGAGGAAGAATCCATCACAAAGGGAGATCTGGAGGTAATTCCTAACACCCTTCCCAAAATATGGGGTCAGAACCTGAAACTGCATGCGGGGCCTCACTTGAGTAGTTTCTCCCACCTTTTACTCAACTCTAAACAATCCATTATCTTTATTGATGGCTTTGGACCAGCTGCAAACACCATGGTGTAAACTGTGAAGATTGTTCTTTGGTACATTGCCCAGTGACTAATGATGCTGGGAGCTGCCTAGAATTCATCACATGCAGCCAGCCTGGCTTTAAATGTCGCCAGGAGTTGCCAAGCCATGTAAAAATCTGCCTGTATCTGGATCCATTTTAACATAATGTTTTTCCACTGTAGAAAGGAATTGACTGCTCAGTCACTGTCCCTGCAGTGTCCTGTTATGAGAAGCTAATTGGCACGCACATTCCTCTATTCCAGCTGAAATGCCGTGTATGACCCACAGTACGCTCAGGCGGAGTCCTCTGCCCGCGAGCGTGGGGTTTGACACCAGGATACCCTTCTGTTTGGAAGGGCTGTTGCTCAGAGTGATGCTCTTGCAGTGAATGTTGTGTGAACTGGAAGTGGTGTTGGGAGCTTGCCCTTGAGTGGGAGGCTTTTCTGTGGGGGGAAAAAGAAAGAAAGTAAAATAATTCTGTGAAAGCAAGGCTCTGCTCTACATGTGTGAATTGGGACTTTCCCCTATCTTTAGCTAGAGTGCTAGGTTAGTTACAGCCAGAAATATCAAGGAATCGGCTCTTGTGCTTCACTGTCATATCAATAAAACCCCAGGAAAATGGGAAAATTAGGCAATGGAGTGTGTTGCTGTGTCTTTGACCCTCTATCCAGAAGCAGAGCAGTGTGTTTGACAGGGTCTAAATCAGCAATGTGCTGGTAGCAGACCTTTGCTAAAGGACAGCGAGTGCAGTTTCTGCCTAGTGTGTGGGTGCAAAATCAGGTTTCTGTTGCTTCCTGAGTTTAGGTGATAGGTTTCCCCAAGTGCTTTGCAGAGGGTGATTGATCTGTCACTCCCTTTGAGAGCAGTGAGTTGTCCTTGTGTAACCTTTAAGGGACAGGGCTAGTCAGCAGGTATATTTAGATATATTTTTTAAAAGCCACCATGTTTTAGCAAGATGGCAAGCTGTTGTGAGGGAAGTGTTCCTGTGAGTGCATGTCCCAAACTGAGGATAGGTCTGATTTTGATTTGGTCTGGGAAGGAGCTGCTTTGCAGTTTTGCAATGGAGATGTGGCCAAGCTTCTTGCAGGCTGCCAGGGTACTGTCCTCACTTACGTCTTTGTACAGAAGAACAAATAACTTCTTAGGGAAGAGCCATGGAGCAGCTTGGTTTCCTGCAATCCAGAGAACTGGGATGTTCCCCGGTGGGTCCAGCACCAGTGACAGCCCAGACACTGTCAGAGGGCTTTGCTGTGGTTAGTTTTTACCTTCTGTCCTGTCTAATTTGGATGCTCAGACTGAACGATTGACCCCCTGGAGTTAATTCTCACCTTCCTGCTTTGTCATAGAGACAGGATTTCCATAAGGAAGTCATTCACTTAAAGAAAAAAATCTCTCATTAGGAATTGGGCAGATAAGTTCTCCTTCATGTTGCAGCATGTTTCCTGGGATATGGTTATCCCTGATATTCTTCACGTAAAATCACAACAAAGTGAACCAGCAGCTGCCAGCACAGCCCTTCGCATGCCTAGCTAGAGCTCGACCAACCACCCATATACCAAAAAGCAAAGCGCAGTGTCAGTTGTCTCCCCTCCTCTGGTCTTGCAATGCTCTTATACCAACAGCCCTCTTCTGAGTGCTCAGAGGAGAGTCTTGCACTTAACAGCAGTAACAGGCATGATGGTAAGGAAAGATTGTCTCCTCTGTGCTCCCTGGATCTAGGGTTTCTGCTGAAGGCTAGGCTGAATCCCATGGTGTTTTTTGAAATATCATGTAGTTTTCGAGCAAAGCTGTGACTCTCAGGTGTTGAGCGTAGCAGGCAACATCCTTGGAAGCTCTTTGACCAAAGAAATCCATGTGTTTGAAGCCTGGAGATCCAGGTCTGGTTTTTGGACCTCTGATAAAAAAGGAGTAACTGCAGATTTAGCCTTGAAATGTGGCTGTAGATTCAACCCAGTTCTGATCCTGGTTGGCAGTGCTGATGCTATTGTGCTTTGGAAGGTGAAAAGCAATTGCAGGAAAACTAAACCTTTTAAGAAAGACCTTGTGGTGGAAGACTGTTGCTGTAGGAAATATTAATCTCTTTGAGGAATTATCTCATGCTCATCTCTTGGAACCTGCCTCATACCTTGAACACCAGTGGGAAGTCAGTTTGTAATTTGTGACTAGTAATTTAAGGCTAATATCAAGAAGTAAGTCTAAAATTCAGATCCAAACTTTGACTCAAAGTGCAGGAAAACGTTGGATTTGAGGCTCTGAGTCATACTGGCTAGGCAAACCAGTTTGGATAAAATAAGAAACAAAGCAGGACCTGATGTGAATCTTAAGTGAAGCTATGTTTGAGGACTGTAAAACATTGATCTAGCTTTCTTCCCTGATTATTTTTCTCTTTTATTTTCATGTGTTTTTCCAGACTTGGCAAATAGCAAGATTGGTAGATACTGAGCAAGCTTGACTGGGAACTTGAGTGTCAGCCTCAGGAGTCTTGAGAGAGTTTGTTTGGGAGATTCAGAGAACAGTTCTGTAGTAGGTCAGCATCTTCAGGTAGCCGGTATCTGACGTGCTGCCACCAGTTAAGGTAACTTCAAAAGTTGGTGTTGCAGAAGTTTCACCTGGGGATTTTGAGGTAGTGTAAACTGAGGAAAATTCGTTAGTATCAATGGAAGAATTATATGAAATGAAGCCTGGACCTCTGTCTTGAGATGTGGGTCTTTGAGCTTTGCAGAGAGCAGCAGAAGTCACTCAGTACAAAATTAAATTTCTTTATTTTCCTTATTAGGATGCCATTCAGCCAACTTTTGCACTTCAATTGTACTATTTGGGGGTTTTGTTGATGTTTGGGTTTTTGAGACCACATCTTTTTTTCCTTCTTCAGGGGTCGGATAGACCACGTAAAATATGGAGTAGTCTGAATATATCTGGCAGTTGAGATCTGCCATCTATGGCAGAATCATATGATGATGATCATATACCATCTATGAATACATGGATAATGATACCTTTCAAGCCATAAGAGAAAACATGGATTTTTACAAGCTTCAGTTTCCATCATTTGTACACAACTAACCAAAAGTTGCTTTATTGTGGGAAAGGGCAGAAAATCCCGAAAACTGTTTCTAATAGCAAGAAGGAGAAGCAAATAATTATATGGAAAATGGGGGTGGGGGAAAAAAAAAGGTTCTGATCAGGTTGGTTTGGGCTTTGGTAGGTCCAGTTTAATTCAAAGGAAAACATTGGGTTTGTAAGCTAAAAAAAATGGGAAACCCAGAGTCTGCATGCATTTTTCCTATGTCTCCTCTCCTCTTTGATTTATGGGAAATTTTACATGATATTACGGTGGTCGTTGTGGAGTCCTGAGGTTTGCCACCAAGTGTCACTATATGGTACTTCTGCTTTAGAAGTGATGGGCACCAAAGCAATGACCTGAGCATTTGCACTGAAGCAACACTCCTGGATTTGGCAGGTTACATAAACTTCTTGTGCTTAAGTTTACTTATCTGTTTAAAAACCAAAAAAGCAAAAACAAAACAAATAGTTCTGTTTTGTGTATGAGGCTGTTGGACTCCTAGTGTGCAAAAATCACTTTGAAATTTGTTGCAGCCTTATTCAAACCTAAAGCACCAATTTATATAACAGCTTGGTATCTAAATTTCTCTGATTTGCTTTCAGTGCAGTGTATTTTTGGTTTTGGCAACATGCTGTGTGCAGTATGACCTGCTTTTTTTTTTTTTATTATTTTTTTTTTTTTTCCCCCACCTAGCGCAGGGTTCAAGCTGTCTCCAGAGCAAAAAAGAGGATGGGAACTTCAGCTCTTTTCAGTCTGCCTTGTGATTCTTCACGAGGAGAGATGCAGAGAATCATTGCAAGGTCTTTGCATTCTCTTCTGCAGTGCAAGGATCTTGTATTGGTGGTCTGCAGCAGTGGGAGCTTTGCTTTTTAGGAAGTGTCTTCAGTATAGTCTTGATGCAGGAAAACACTGAAGCAGCTTTTTAATGCAGAGGGATGTTTTTCCATCCCAAATTCCATTTTCATGTGAATAGCCACTATGAGTACCATGTAAAATCCCACAGTGACCGTTTTCTGTTTGGTTGGGTTTTTCCTGCTTGTTTAGATCTTTATTCTCCTCCTGTTGTGAACTGCCTTTCCTTGTCTTGTACACTGAAGATGATGTTGCAGCCTTCTC